AGGCTTTCTACTCCCGTAAAGATTTACACCCTCGGAAACCCTGTACAGGGTAGCTATGGGTCGGAACTGACTCGACGGCACTTAACAACAACAACAACATTAGTTTGCTACTTAGAAATCTACACAGAGTTTCAAAATAGAAATCGAGGGAGAGGATATAATTGGATTGCTTGAAATGTCCATTTTCTAACTCCCCAGAGATGGATTTGCTTCTTTGATCCTTCAATATAAATTTTAATGAAAGATCAGGTCTTATTCTTTATAAAAGCATCTTCTTTTGGCATTTATATAGGCAGATGCTGAGGGTTGTAGTAGTCAGTAGATGGTTCCAGAATAGACTGTGGAGCTTGCTGCTGCTCAGCTGCAAAATTAATAAATACCTGAAAGAAATCATGAGAATAGTTGTTAACTCAAAAGATTCTCAACCTTTTGGTCTCAACTTTTATAAGGACAGGTTTTCTCTCAAAATAGTATTCAACCACTCTTAAAGCAACAAATCATCAAATCATATGTCCTAAATTACTTGTGAAGTCTTGGTGTGGTGCTGGAGGAGATAAGCACTGGACTGCTAATCACAAGGTAGGCAGTTCATACCCACCAGTGACTCCTTGGAAACCCTATAGAGGGTTACTATGATTCAGAAATAAAGCAACAAACAACGAATTGTCTTGTGCAGTGCTGTAGGATAAGCATTGGACTACTATCGGTGGTTCAAACCTATCAGTCTTTCCTTGGAAAGCTTATATAGGGCTGCTTAAAGCACTTACCAACAACAAAATTTTGCCATAAACAGGGAAATCCATTGAGGATATAACTTCAGGGACACATTTCTAATATATTAGTCCTTGTAGAATTCTCAGTAGTGTATAGATGGTTTTAGAAAGAGGTTGTGATATAATTGTAAATTTCTGGTACTATTTCAAAGTCAACTATCATTGGATTAAAGTGGTCTTTTTGGAAATAGGCTAGTTAAGTGACTTAACCTAAAGAGCTTTGGTAGCATAGTGGATTATGAGCTGAGCTGTAAACAAGGTAACAGTTTGAATCTAGCAGCCACTCCACAAGAGAAAAATGAGGCTCTCTGCTCCTGTAAAGATTTACAGCCTTGGAAACCCTATACAGGATTGCTATGAGTTGGAACTAACTTGATGGCTCTTAACAACAACAACAACTACATACCTGTTCCAAAGTGGTTTGGTTAATGGAGTAGTGGTTAATATTCAAGGAAGTCTTATTGTCCTCTAGAACTTTGAACAAGTCAGCTAAGCATCCCCATCTTTTTGGTACATGATATTCCAGTAAATTAAGACGTTGCCCCTAAAAGCCAAAAATTAATATAAATGTACATATTAGCAATCATTAAACAAAATAGATAAAAGTATATCTAATTGCAATATAAATTCAGTTTCTTTTCTAATCCTTAGATACTAAGTTTGTGGGTCCATTTAAAGTGTCTCCAATAAATGTTTGCAGTCCTTGTGTGGCACTATAGGATAAGCAATGGACTGCAAGACTGGTGTGAATTCAAACTCACCAGCTGCTCTGCAGAAACCCTATACGGGTTGCTATGAGTTAGAATTGACTCAACAGCACTTAACAACAAACAAATGTTTATCGATGGCAATTCATCATGAGAGATAATATAGGTAAGATAAACACTGGATTGGTGACTATCAGGTTGGCTGTTCAAACCTACCAGCAACTCCTTAGAAACTCTATACAGTGTTGCTATGAATTGGAACCAACTTGATGACACCACCACCAACACCAACAGCAATCACCTGGATTGAGTTATTGTTCTGCCTTCTTCTCTGAGGGTAAGTCAAAAGTATTGCTATAAAATCAGAAGTGTTTACTAAACAAAAATGTCATTGTTTCTGAGCATCTCCTTCATCTAGTTCTACAAACTGCTGATGGTAGTGAGTCCATCTCTCAAAACCTTCCCTAGAGAATGCTGTGTCCTTCAGTTTACACAATATCAAATTGGCAGTTTTGGCATCCACAAGTGACACAAATTATATTATTTCCAACGATTATTGAGTTTGGGCGAACAAAAGGAAGATTGAAGAGGCAAGATCACGGCTGTTGGGAAGATCGGGTAAGATTTCCTAAGAAAATTCTTGTAGGACAGCCTTATAGTCGTTGAAGGATGAGTAGGAACATTGTTGTGATGGAAAATTTTTTCACAGTACAACTTTCTTGGCCTTTTTATTTAAAAAAAAAAAAAGCTTTATTGTGAATTGAATGATAGCTTAAATGGGAGAACATCAGTTTTACACTCATCCTATCATATTTTATTTCATTGCAATGATTACAATTCCCCTCAATGCATCACCATTCAACAGTATTTGCTTCTATTCCCTCTGATTTTGTTTCATCTTGTTTTGTTTTTGATGTACACAAAACACTCAGGAATATATAGTCATTTAAAAAACCCAAGGGCACATTCTGCAAGCCTGCCTCCTGGCCTCCAGCACACAGCCTTTCTCTTCCATGAGTCTAGAGCCCTCTGCTGCTCTATCTCTCTGGTGTTGCTGCTTCTCTGGACAGGGTCCCCCATTCTGCTCATGTTCTTCTACCTTGATGGTCCTTGGGTCCTCTGTTCCTGGAATGTAAGATTAACTACTCTCCCGTTTTGTTATACAACTTCTACCTTTACAGTTGTGACAATCGCAATTATTCATGGTAACAATTACTCACTATTGAAGCATTAGAATCTTATCCCTATCTCCTTTCACCAGAGCAGTCTAGGCAAGTTGAAAACTACTCACTGGGGATTCTACCTACCCACCCCCCGACACAGTCTGAAATGAAACTCCCTTCTGAAGCCTTGTAAGCCAGCTACTTCATACTTTATCAACCCCTCATTTTAGGTAACCAATGTCTAGGTTGCCTGTCCCTATCAACCCTATATACAGAGGGGATAGGATTGATCCTTGATGTGAAGACTCCTTCCCTCTCACTTGTTATTTTGAGCTACTACAGCCATAGGTATAGGCCAAGTTACTCAAATTGTAGCAATTACACTTGTTTCCTTCATCAAAAATTTCTTTATCTTCCACTATTTGAGTTCGGATTATCAAGCCATCGTGGCTAGGTCAAATGGATACTAGCCTCAAGTTTGGACATTCTTGTGTGCCTCCCCTCACTTTGTATTAGCTGGATACTTCACTCTCAGCTCTATCCCTCTGTGGCTAAGTCCTTGTCCCTGACCTTAGATGGCTCCCTGCCTTGATGCCTTGATGACTCCCTGAAAAACAACTTGCTTGTTCTTGTAGTAGCCAATCAGACTGCTCTGTTTGTTTGTTTTTCCTGCTGGTCTTTCTTTCAAGAAGTATCTTGTGTTCCTCTAGCTGCTACAAGATGCTCTGCTTGTCCTTTCAAGTGGGAATGTTCCACCTCAGAAGGCTCTGGATGGGGCTGAGGATTCCACCTAAGGTCTTATACACTACAAAGGCTCTGCAAGAAGCCTATTTCACTGGGCAAGTTCTAGAATCCCTATTAGATATCCCAATAAGTTATAGGCTGACAACAGGCTTATAAGCTTTCTATAATCATGTTTCCCAATATTCCTTTCTATCCCCCTCAAGTGTCTATTCTACAATAGTAAGCAAGGGAAATCAATATGCATAAGACAGTCAAGCATCTTAACATTATTTCCCCTCTTTTACTCATTCAGGCTATGCCTCTTTCCCTGTATCACAGAGCCTTGTTGTTGCAAGGTTGAGCATACATCACTATTTACCACTGTCCCATTTAGCCCATGTAAACCTGTCCAAGTGTTCCCCTATCTACCTTGTTCTTCCATCCTCCTCCCTTCTTGTGTCTATCCCCTACCCTGTGCTTTACTTTCCCCTCCTTCGTACCCCTAACCAACAAATATATATATATATATTTTTTCCTTTTAGTATGGGTACATCTTCTTAAGCTTTTATAATAATGGTCTTAAGCAATCTTTGTCCTTTTGTGACTAATTTTACTCAGCATACTGTATTTAAGGTTCACCCATGTTATAAGGTGGTGTGCAGCTTTCTTGTTATTTTTCAAGGTAGCATAATATTCTATTGTGTGTATGTACCAAAGTATGCTTATCCATTCTTCCATTGATGGTCATTTAGGCTGTCTCCATCTTTTTGCTATTGTGAATAGTGCTGCTCTGAGTATATATGTGTATATATCTACTCTTGTTCTGGCTCATATTTCTTGTGGATATGTACTATGTAGAGGAATTTCTGGATCATAAGGTATTTCTAACTTTCTGAGGAAGTTCCATATTGTTTTCTAGAATGTTTGGACAATTTGCAATCCCAACAGCAATGTATGAGGATCCCAGTCTTTCCATACCCTTGCCAGCATTTATTGTCCTCTGCTTTCTTGATCTTCACTGTTATTGCTGGTGTGAGATGATATCTCATTGTTGTTTTGATTTGCATATCTCTAATGGATAGTGTGGCATTGTGGGTTAATGTGCTGGACTGCAACATTGATTGAACCACAAGGTTGGCAGTTTGAAGTCACCAGTTGCTCCTCAGATACCATATGCAGGGTAGATATGGGTCAGAAATGATTTGACATCACTTAACAGTTTAACAGTAAAGGATAAAAACCATGAACATGTCTTCATATATTTCTTGGCTGCCTGAATTTCTTCCTTGGTGAAGTGCATGTTCATGTCCTGTGACCATTTTTTAATTCAGTTATTTGTCTTTTTCTTGTAGAGGTGTTGTAGTTTCCTATATACTTCAGAAATTAGTCCCTTTTCTGATATGTCATTCCAAAAGATTTTTTCCCATTCAGTGAGCTTCCTTTTTATTCTTTTGGTGAAATCTTTTCTTTTTTTTTTTTTAATTGTGAATTGAGTGATAACAATGATTACAGTTTCCTCCATGCATCATATCAATTAATAGTATTTTCTTCTGTTCCCTCTGTTTTTTCTCTTTTTTTTTGGGGGGTGGGGTGGGGTGGGATGTATACAAACACACTCAGGAATATATAATTATTTAAACCACCAAAGGACACATTCTTCAAGTCTGCCTCCTGGGGCCCAGCCCTCAGTCTTTCTCTTTCCATGAGTCCAGAGTCCTCAGCTGCTCTCTCTCCATTTCCACATCTCCATTTCTGGTGTTGCTGCTTCTTTGGATAGGGTCCCGCATTCCACTCATTGCATTCATGCTCCTCTCCCTTGATGGCCCTAGGGTCCTCTGTTTCTGGAATGTAAGATTAACTACACTTGTTTTGTTACAAAACTTCTGACAGGTGGAATAAGTCATTATATCAATTACTCACTATTGAATCATAAGAATTTTATCCCCATCTCTTTTCACCAGACATGTCTAGAGAAAATCAAAACTATTCAGTGGGGATTCTACCTTGCATGCTCTGAAACTCTCTCTTGAAAACTTGTAAGCCAGTTACCTTGTGCCTTTATTGCCCCCTAATTTTGTTGTTAAGTGCCATCGAGTCAGTTTCGACCCATAGCGACCCTGTATAGGGTTTCTATGGAGCAGCTAGTGAGCTTGAACCACCAACCATGTGGATCAAACAGACTTTGTAGCCCAGCGCACTAACCCAAAATGCCACACCAGTTGTCTAATTTGCCTGTCCCTATATACCCTGTATATACCCTGTATGAACCAACTCGACAGCACTTAACAACAACAATATACTCTGTATAAGATCGGAAACCCTGTGCAGGGTCACTATGAGTCGGAACTGATTTCACGGTACTTAACAACAACAACATCTACCCTGTATACACAGGGGATAGGATTGATACTTGATGTGAAGACTCCTTCCCTCTCAGTTGGTATTTTGATATACTACATCCATAAGTAAAGGTCAAGTTCATAAAATTGTAGCTAAAATTTACACTTGCTTCCTTTATTAAAAAAATATTTTTTTTATCTTCCTTTAGTAGAGTTCTTATTATGAAGTCATCAAGAGTAGGTCAAATGGGTACTATCTGCAAGTTTGGGCATTCTTGTGTGTCTTCCCTCACTTGACACAAGCTGGATGCTTCACGCTCAGCTCTACCCATCTGTGGCTATATCCTTGTCCATGGACTCAGGAGTCCCCAGGTCTCACCACACTTCAAACCAATCAGCCCTTTCTCTTCTCTCTCTCATCTCCAGGTCAATAGGAGTCTATAGAACATGGTTAAACACAGCTCATTTCTTCATTGCTGCCTTTCCCCCTCTTCTACTCACCAGCAGACCAAAGTGGTCATCAACAAAGTTACATGCCTGCTCATGTGATCCCTCTGAGTTTGTATTGGATGGGGGTTTGTCCTGAAGGGACTTGATTGCTTGCCTTGATGG